TACCGGTGCTGTGAATGCCATACCGGGCCAAAGTGATCCTAGCCTTCTGTCCACCCGATAGTGAGACCCCTTTCTCTCCGACTAATGTCTTGTCTCCGAAGGGGAATATCTGGAGATCCCTTTCCAGTGCACAGACATTCACTACCTGTCTATACCGGTGCTCATCGTATTCACTGCCAAACAGTATGTTATTTCTGACGCTATTATTGAAACTCCAGGCCTCCTGAGAGGCATAACTAATGGTGCCCACCGTTTGTATATTTCCCTCGAGCACCGGTAGCTCATTAAGTATAGACATGATTAGTGAACTCTATAAAAATAATTTATAAAGTAATTTAAATTATTAAATTAATTTATTTAACAATCAAAACAAACATACCTTTCCCGAACCTACCGGTCCAATCACAGCTAATAGATCTCCAGGTTTTATATTGAATGAAATGTTTTGAATGGTTGCATAAGGACTGCCCTGGTTACATATAATAAATATTAGCTAGTACAGTATAAATATTAAAATGTTTACTATATTTCATACTTCACTCCATTTGGCGGATATATTATTGACAATAACTTTTGGTTTTGCATTTGTTTTGGGGAAGGCAGCTAAATCATCAAAATCTTTAGTGTTATATGTTTTAGGCTCCATTTCCCTCAATTCCAAGAATGTCTAGAAAATATTTTATATATTCAAATTAATTAATATAAGTATAACTGAGATATATTCTTGTAATTAATTAAATATTTTTCCAAATACTGTACTAATATTGATTGTATTAAGCGTGTTCATTGATTATCTAATTAGCAATATATAGTATCATATACAGGTATCTACAAGTAATCTACAAGTATTCTACAATATAAAATGGTATCTACAAATATTCTACAATATAAAATGGTATCTACAAGTATTCTACAATATAAAATGGTATCTACAAGTATTCTATGTTTCTATTCAAGTATTTAAAGTAAACTTGTTTTATTCCCAATGTGGCCAAAACTAGCCTATAGCATATATGTTATAATGGATATAGGCTAGTTTTTGGCCAGATTGAGAATAAAACAAGTTTACAAAACTTAAAATCTCTATTCATTTTAGCAGTTTTATTGCTTATGAATGAATACCTGGATGCGAGAGCACGACACCGTCAGTTCAGCCCATTGGGCGATGGCGTAGGCAAACCGTGTCATCAAAGTAGTCCTAAGAGTGTTGAACAGAGCCATTGTAATGAACACCGCTTTTGCGGTCAATAGGTTCCCGGTTAACACGTATGCCATAAAACACGCGAAAAGTATTATACGGGGGGCCGCCAAGTATACCGACAAATTGATAGCATTTAGAAAACGGGCCCTTTGTATGCCACGGACCTCATTCCTATTTATAATAAATATCCTTGGTTATTCATTTATAATTGTTATTTATCATTGAGTTTCCAACTTTCCACCTTATTGCAAAGTGTATCACATTTTAAAAAACTATTACCGGTATAATTTTTGCATACAAGTTTTAAAAGGTTATTAATTATTACTATAGTATAACATTCGGACATACTTTCTAGCGGTGGCCACCAGTTTGGCAAAGGACTGCTCCCAGGCATACATTTTGATGACTCGCATCCCCGATATAATCTCATTCATGAGCCGCAGTCGACTGTCCGTTAACTGAGCGGTCATTAGCCTATGATTTGAAG